GAAGTCGGCGCGTCGTGCTTGGCAGCTATCGCCATGATCACCAGACCAATGAGCTCTGCGAGAACGGCCTGACACAGCGGTTAGAAATTTATAGTCGGAATTTGGGGTGATTATGGCGATAGCCGCTAACCACTAGGTCCCGTTCCACTCCCAGTTCAGGCTACCACAACCTGATGAGTTCAAAGCAGGACGAAACCGTCGGTCGTGTAGTGCAGGGATAGGAGAGAGCAACACCGGAAAAACTGCATAATTAACTTTCAACGCAAGTGTATTAGGTAGCAGAATTGCAGTGGTTGCTGTATGCTACGCACAGTAAGCAGTCATATCGCCGCAGTCTAAAAACGGATGGCTAGTGAGCCCGGGTCTACGGGTTCCGCTCCTAACCGGAGCAGAAAGAACACGCAAAGCTGATGGGGCAGGAAAAAAGAAATGAGTCATCCAGTGCCTTTCTTGGTCACTGTGGTGAAGTTCACTAAAAGCACCCGAACAGCCAGTTCGGTATTTTTACTTCTGAAGGTGCGATTTGCCTGTAGACTTAGGAAAACTAGTGAACGCGAGTTGAAGTATAGTGCAAAGCTGTCGAAAACCGGCAGCAGGAACGTTAGCATAAACGCCAACGCGAGTCGTAGATAGTCCCGTATGGTAACTAAGTAGCCAAAGCTGCAGAGATACTAGTTACTCAGACCTTGACGGAGGAAAGTGCCATAAAAAAGGAGAAATGGTCGTCTTAGTTTACTTTACGTTATCATGACAGATAAATGGAAACAAACAACATGAAGATGAGGAATAAGAGGCCCACATGGTCAATTCACGATCAATGGGCCAGGTTTGTTAAATCATATAAAACCATAAGGTGCTCAACGACGAAACGGAGCATCTGGAAGTAGGAAGTGAACAGGAGCTGAGCCACGAATCGGCACACTTAATGGGTCGAAGAATGAAAATTTTGCATGCAACTAGGTCCAAACGCAGTTGGTATGTTCAGAAGCAGCAGCTATCTAAAAGACTGCAAATCATCCAACCGGAGAAAAATACAGACATGGTGGCTCAATGCATGATGTGGTTGATACCGAACTAGAAAACACGGTGGTGAATAGGTAGCGCAAAGTTACACCTAATCTGATATCGTGCCCGCAAAGGTATGCTTGTATGCCACGAATCGGGATGGAAATTAACAGCCAAAAGTAAGAAACCAAATGCAGGAGAGGCACTGACTGGCATGACCGACAGTCTTCAACAAGTGATGTGGACTATCTCGAGTCTGCCACCAACAGCCTGACCAAGTCCTTTAGCCAACTTCTTCATGTCTTTATGCCACGTAATCGACTGGCTAGGTCGCGGTTTCGCCAAACTTGGTGCAATGACGGCTATGTTGTCGCAGTGAGGCTGCACCTCAACGTGGTGCGACGGTTTCCGTATCCCTTCGACTCAATGATTGATCAATATTGACTGATGCACCCGGAAACCTTAAGAACTATTCCTACCAGGTTGGGGGTTGGAATTGGGATAGCGTCCACTTCTGTAAAACCAAGTCATTGTCACATCCCTGTTACTTTTCGGACAGGCTTTGAGCCAAAAGCTTTGGTTGAGGACCCTACTCGTCGTCCTGCTTAGGCTTGGCCGCCCTAGCATTATCTCGACCCACGTACAGCCATGCATATTTATTCAAACTTCAGCCACATCCTGCACCGGTCGTTGCGTATCCTTATATGCTGCATACCGCCGGGCGGACAAGCGAAAACATGCTACTGCTGGCGCATCCCTCCTTTCCATCCGTTTCGCTTACTCCTCCCGGACCCCCATCACTAACCTTCCATAAATAATTACCCGCTTAATTGACAGTAGCCCCAATGCCACTGCAAGCGAACCATCTGTCGAACAACCTCCTCGTGGTGCCAGGTGGGTGGTTCGGGATTTTCCCGTTCCAGCAAATGGTTCGGCGGCAGCGTTCCAGGACGTGGTGGGTTTTCGCCTGGTAAGGGTTCTCCCTATAAAAAGCCCCACATGTCCGTTTAACACTGCGACGTGGCGGACGTGACTCGCCACTAAATAAAGTCACTGCCCCTTACTTCATTCTGGTGAAGCATTGTATCCCAGCAACTTTGTGCTGTAATTCTGGGGAGCATTGGGCCCCTGTTTGAAAAAAAAACAAACGAAAGGCGCATGAACTGGGCAATCAGTCACCGTCTCCCAATGGGCGCGATTCCCTGAATTCGCTCCGCTGTCTTGCGGGCAGGCTATTTAGCCAAAGGCTCGGGGTGGTGTCCCCTACCCTACTTCGGCTTGGGCAACCAGGTAGTAACTCGCTCTCTGACGAAACCATGTACTTTAATATGTTGTGTTTTCTTTTACAATTTCTGTACCTTCTTTTGTGTTCCATGATTTCTGATGGCTCTATGTCTATTCATAGACTGCTGATATATATATATATATATATATATATATATATATATATATACCTTCCCACATCGCCCACTGGATGCCTATCGGCAACAGCCCCTAATATAAGGCCACGATGTCCCGTTCCCCTGAAGACGTTGAACTTTCACACTCTGGGACATATAGGTCAACAGGCTGTACTCGCACACACGTTGAACACCGTCGGTATTGACGTGTGTTGTGTGTCCGAAACTAAGCATACTGACTCTCACGGGGCTGCTGAACTAACTGCGTTCCGCTTGTCCTATGGTATTTGTTGCACGCATCTGGAGACGCTGATGTAGCAACCATTGATCACGCTGCAGTGGGCATTGCTCTCAGCTTCAAGGTTGTCATTGTTGGTTGATGGGATACGCATGACTTGGTATGCTGTCACTTCCCATGAGCTTTACCGAGAGGCGTATAATACACTTCCTTCAATTGGCAAATGAGAATTTATCTTAGTCTAAGGTCATGCAAGCCTAGCAGGATATCTTGTGTACCAAACTTTCGCTCTCTTATCCTAATGACACTAAGCTTCATTGGAATAGAATGCAGGTCACAATGCACGATGCGTGAGCCTCTGTATGCCTCGCTATCAAACGTCATTGAACTAGCTACGGGATATCCAGTGAACTTGTTGGGATCCAGTTGAACAGTCGCGGCCGGCTCTGAACACAATGTAATCAGACAGACTATTAAGCGCCAACTAAAGCAGGGCCTGCGGGATAACAGGGAAGCTTTGTGGACCAGTCAGGCTCATGAAATGCAGGAAGTGAGAGCAGTATGCAATTATCGCAAACTCTTCCAACTGATCCGCTCCCCTGACCATAAGTAATCAAGCGACAGCGATAAAATGAGACAGCGCCGGTGTCCTGATTCGCAATGAGGAGCGCCGTTTGGCTCGTTGAGCGGAACATTTTCGATACCACTTCAGTAAGTACACTGCTTTCTGACCCCGCACTAGTCAGGTGAGGCTCCTCATAGGCTGATGTCCGAGACGCGATCACAGCGCTTAGTCGTTTTCGGGCTCCTGGCCCGGATTCTCTTGCACCCGCAATACTTAAGGATGGTGGTATGGTCCTCTGGTAGCATTGAGCTGCATGTTGCAACAAGTCTGGAGGGCAGAGACCATCTCGAATAACAAGTGAATCGTTCGTAGCGGCAATGTACAAGAACGGGAGCCGCACTGACTGTGCTAACCACAGGGGTATTAGTCAAACGCCAGTTGTGACAAAATGTCTGACTTCAATTCTCGTTCGCCGCCTCATTGCAGAACTGGAAACCCAGATTTGCGAAGAACAGACAGCTATTGCCCAGGACGGGGCTGTGTAGACCGCATACTCACTTTGCGGCAGGTGCTAGAACAGCGTCACACGTACCGCAGACTGACAATAGCTGTGTTCCTCTACTTCAAGAGTTTGTTCGATTCGGTCAATCGATATGTTCTGCACGAAATAGTTGCACGGAAAGGTGTTCCCATGAAATATGTGGACATTTCGCGTTCCCTACGCTCGAACACCCCAGGCCATGTGAAGGTTGCCCAGTTTTTCAACTTAGTCGTGCACTCCATTATTGTGTTCGCTTGTGAAATCTCATGATGCAAGCGTCGATGTGCTACTTGGTGAAAAGCTAGCTGATCTTGAGTATGCAAACGATATGGTCTTGCTGCATGAAAATGTTGGGGCGACTCAGATAACCCTCAATAACCTCTCTAGTAATTCCAACATACGATAAGCACTTCGCAGCTTCAAAGTGCAAAGTGTTGTTACAGGATCACCAGCCACTTGATGACCCTTTAACTCTTGGTAGGGAGGAACTCGAGGTAGTTGATCAATTCACTTACCTCGGCAGCTGCACCAGCAACGATGGGTGCATAACCATTGAAGTCAGTTCACGTACTGCAAAAGCTAGAACTACCTTCGTGAATCCACGATATCTGTGGCATCAGAAGGGGGTTTCCCTCGGTATGAAAGTCCGTGTTTACAAGGCCACAGTGAAAGCCATCCATACTCTATGGGAGTGAGACTTAACCCTTCGGTCTGAGGACCTACGGCGCCCTCAAGTCTTTGATTATCGTTGTCTGCGAACCATTGCTGGTGTCGGATGGAACCAACGTATCTGCAACGGCGATGCGTGTGAGCCAGTGCTAGGCAGTGATAGTCAGGCTAGTAACCCAGAACAACAGAGAGAAATGAATAAATTGCGGACGCGCGGTCACTGCTTAATGTCCGCCATAGGTGCGGCAACGCAACGCTCGGGGCGGGCAAAATAAACTTGGCAACGGGAGATGAAGCCACTGACGACCAAACTCGGTGCCGTCTGTCCGTCTCGCCTTCCGGGCTGGAGTCCACATGACCCGCCTTGTGCTGGGCTAGAGACGATTACGGAACATGGCTCGCAGTCGACGCCACTGACGCGTCTGCTATTGCTTCCTAGTCGGATTTCCTGTTTCAAGTGTGTTCGGTGCTGAGTTATCTGAAGAGTAATGGCTGATAATAACGCGCGACAGCGAAAGCCGCATGGAAGATATCTGGCCCAACACCTCAGTGTCATGGGACATTTTATAATTCAGCACTTACTATTCTCATTTGTTTTGATGGTTTTCTGTGCTTCGGTTAATTCCAAGGTTGTTTGGTTCACTTGTTCAGTTAGCTTGGTGATGTTGTCCTTCGCATCTTTTAGCTCAGCGCGTAGTTGTGCAACTTCAGAAGTTCGCTCCTGCAGTTCAACATCTTTAGAAGACAAAAGACGCTCCTGTTCAGCAGCGACTTGTCCACGCAGTTTGGCCTATAAACGAAAGACAAGGTTAAGTGCATTAGAAAACCCGGTCAAATACATGAAGCTAAATCCGCTAAGAGAAAATCCACTTGGCGGATTGTGTAGCTATTGAGGAATTTACAATGGATGCAAAGTGTGTTATGAATCAGACACCTCCTTGCTGGAACAGTGAAAAGCTGTTTGGATGAAAAAAGGCAGAAAGCAACCCGCCTTTAGTTTATTTCAATCAAATAATTCTGAACCACGCAATCGCATTTTTGGGCTATTAAGTAATGAATGAACAGTGCGCGAAACGCAAAGAAGGCCAGATTGGAAAGAAAACCACGAAGAAAGGTGTGTTAAAGTAATCCGGCTGGAATGCGAACAGCCAGATACAAGGAACTCAGTGTTTAGTATTATGGATAGGGAAAGGAAGTGAACCGCTCCGATGGTCACGCCACGTGTTGCGCATGTTCGCACACTGATTCCCGCGACGTGCGTTGTTTGCGCGACCGGGATGTGGATGGAAGCAAAAGAAAGGGAGACTAAGCGATGATTTGGTCAAGAGGAATGAAAACATCGAAGTTAGTGTCAGTCGGTGTCTTCCGACTGCCGGGTTGGTTCGCAAAGATGATGAACAAGTTTAGTTGGATATATTTGCTTACAGTGGTGAAGAACTGACCACGATGGCGTTTGTGTTGTGAGTTTCGGAGATGCTCTCCCTGTATACTGCCATAGGATCGGCCAGTTTCGTACTGATTTCTACTCGTCAGATAGACAGCCTGAGCTGAAGGTGGAACCTGACACATAGAGGCTGACCGCTTGCGCCTTGGTCACTAAACCAGAGCTCGGTGAGCAGCACCTGAGCCACTTCTTTTGTTCCCCTTTCGTTTAGTTACGCCTACCAATTACGAGCCCACACTCGATGCATAATATGGTATCGTTTTTTATTATGTGATGTCTAGTATTTGGTTGGCGGTATCCGGTTTCGGGTTTGCCTGTCACTGTGGTCAGCCACAGGACGCCTGCGCATACAGAGGGATCATGGGTGGCTTGCGCTGCACCACCCACAGCTCCAACCACACACCCCATATCCAGTGTAAACCCGAAGGAATAAGACCGGGAGGCATGCGGATTGGAGCCACGTTTCATAAACGGAGCCGGCCCACACTCCTTCACAGGCAAACACAAGCACGCTGTATTTGGGGAATCAAGTGCACACAAAGCGGTGGCTGGACCGTAGTCCGCTCCACACTGACTGCATGGAACCGCTCTTTGAGCTTAGCACGGCCACAAGGACCGTGCACCCCGTCCCCTCCAGCAACGAGCAACTGTCTCCTGTAGCCAGATGGACGAGGTAGTGGGTAATAGACAGGTAGGCACCTTGTCAACATGCACATCAAGCACAGCCACATCTGGGATGTCAAACAACAGCCAATCATTCAAAATGCCGTTATCGAATAAAGTAAGCGCATATGACGACATAAATACTCGTAAAATGATATTGGTTAATGGTGAATACGCGATAAGTACAAAATGTCCGAGTTATTTTAAAAATACCACGCGATAAAATTATGCAAGTTTACCACAATTTGCATCAGCGACGTGTGTAAGTTGGGAGAAGTTTATGAAGTACACAGAACAAACCAAAAAAATTTGATAAATTTTATCCACATTAAAAAGACCTAGTTTAAGTGTAAGTTTGTTTAGCCCAACTGCGGTGAAGAAGCATCATGAATGCAACATCAGCCAAAGCATGGGACACACATGGTTGGCGGCACCCAGTTTCGAATTTGTCTGTCACTGTGTTTAGTATAACATTTATTCATATATGTTACATTTTTGTAATGCGGCGCGATAGCTGAGGTGTTTGTCCCCTTTAGCTAACTTATGCTAAGGAGGAGAATGATGTAGTTGCTTGGAAACCAAAATCTAAGTCAGGACAATGTGATCACATCTTGTATTCACGAACTATCGGATCGTTTATACAGTACATCAGTATAGAATGAAATTCCAGCGTGGCTACTCTGCTCAATCTATTGTTCACCGTCGCGTCCTATGTCATCTGCCTATGTTCGCTCGCTGGCACGCGCCATTTGTCCGCGTGGAGCTCTGCTCACCCTAGGCCACACCAACAGTCTGGCCCGAACCAACACGATTAACTCGCGTGGTAGGCACTCGAATAGCTTCCCGTCCACTGGTCATATGCCGGCCCCATGCGCGCAGTTGGACAACAACCACCGCATCCAGTTATCAACGCGTGGATACTATCCACTCGTCGTTGTCATGGCAAATCCGGTCCACCTTTGTTTGGAACCATATTGCCATTCGTTCGTGCCGAGTGGAACCAACTCTTCCTTGACTCTCTGGCCCGTACTAAAAGGCCAGTATGTGTACGCGGAGCTTCATAAGCTTCCGAGGCAGACGGGGTTACATTCAACAACCGACTAAGTTTCCCTAATTTCAGTCATTAATGGGGGACAGTGGAGTCACATATAGGGCCTAACAACACTGAATGAAGGTCAGAAATCACAGAAACAAACCCACTCGGCGTTAAGAGCAGATGATGTGACAAGTTGTTCCAGTATGTGGTTTGTAAAACAAACCTCTACACATAAGCAGTTTGCAATAACCATGGGAGTAAGGGGTGCATGGATATTACGCAGAAGTGCACAGTAATCACTGTTCAGGTTGGAAACACGTTACCTTGGTGTGGTGATTCTTAACTTCAGTCTGAAGATGCTTTATGATTTCGTTGGCCTTTTTCACCTCTTCCGACTCTCTTTCGACAGAATGCTTTAGCTTTTCGGCGCAGCGAGTTTGAGCTTGCAATTCGTCCTGCAGTCGGGACTACAGAGAGACGTGAGATGGGAAACTTGAAAACAGACAAACACGAAAAGTGAAGACTAATGCGGCGGAGCACGGAGCGTCCATCTGCTCACCTTCTGTTCTTGTTCAGAGCTGAGTAAATCTTGTACTTTTGTGATTAGCTGATCCTTGGTGCTTAACTCGCGCTCCAGTTGGTTCAGTCGCGCCTCCAGCCGATTTACAGTGGCCGACTGTGACTGGTTGACGCTCTCTGCAGCAAGAAGTTTAGACCGAATATCTGGCGAAAAATGCGCGGGGGAAAGTAAAAATTTGTATACGAATAACTGGACACCGCAAGGACGCTGAGTGAGAATACGTGATAGATTACAATTCCTAGCGAATCGCAAGCATAAAAGATTGGATAAATAGGCGATAAAGTCGGATTGAATATGCAAGATATACGCGGCTAACGGACACTAAGCGGAAAATACCTCGGAGCACAGAATTTATACTTTTTCAAAGCATGGGAATTGTAAGAGACCATAAGAGCAGAAAACTGGCTATTTGCAGACGTGGGCTGGCGCATAGCGCCGCACGCTTCGGTATGTGATTTGCACCTTCTAATCGAGTTACCGCTGCAGGGCTGGATCGACTCCCCAGCAGCATTTACAATAATAGGGGAACCGTTTGAAACAACCGATCAATTTATTCTTTGGGTAGCTGCATAGCTTTTGGTGGTTGCCGCACTTATGAGGTTACCGCACGCGTAGTAAGGCTCGTATGGCTTTTCGAAGACTCTCGTTCAAGAAGACAAAGGCATACAATATTGACAGTTAACGAGATGGTTTACGATGCTGCGGCACAGCTAGTATTACTCTACGGATCAGACTAGTCGCTACGCTCTATGGTAAATTGACCATTGGTGTTTGTGCAGTGTTGCTCATGTCTGGGATAACAAGAGAGTGTAACACTGCAAACTGCTATTTAGTATTTGGTAACACATAATCTAGTGACTAATTGGAGCAGCTGTTGAACTCTTAGTGACTTCTGTGACTCGGCCATGCACCCCGCATGCTAGCGATCCGACTGCCTTGGTGTGCGTTGACTAGATGAAACCCCGAGGTGGTTCTTAAGTAACATGTAAGATGAGCATGAAAAAACTCAGTGATTTTTGTTGGTGCCAACTGTTTTTCTGTATGGGGAGGTTGGAACTGAATACATCAGTATACAAACATTTTAACGGAGAAAACAATCGCCAAGTCAATGAGGTTCTTGTGTTAGTTATCTCTAGCCCAGGAACAATGTGCTTCATTTTAGTGCTTGCCCATCTCCCCCCTCACGAAAGGAAGAAAAGCGTCAGCAGTACGCCGGTACGCAGTACCGACGCTTCGCTATCGCGTAACCACCATCGGTCGCACGTGGGCTAAGGATACTGCGAAAGTCTCCCTGCCCCTACGCAGGCTCGAACCCGCGCTGTCAGATTCCAAGATAAGTTCATTACCTTTAGGTTACACACCGCCGTTCCTATTATATTATCAATACTATTATTAGTTTGGAATACCACGTTTTTTGACGGTACGAGACAGTCCACTAAGTGGTCTGGACAACTTTGCACATCGGAATCGCATAGTATAGATAATTTGGTAGAAATTCGTCCGCGCGTTTCATCCTTTCGGGAATTGTCAACAGTGCGCATTTTGTCGGACCCTGGTAGGGCTTGGTGAGGGGGCTACCCTGTCCTCTGCACGGCAGTAACGTGAGGTCAGTGGATAGTGAGCGGCGCCATTTCATGGTTGGCGGCATCCGGTTTCGGATTTGCCTGTCACTGTGGTCAGCCACAGGACGCCTGCGCATACAGAGGGACCATGGATGGTTTGCGCTGCACCATCCACAGCTCCATCCACACACCCCATATCCAGTGTAAACCCGAAGGAATAAGACCGGGAGGCATGTGGATGGGTGCCACTTTTCATCAACGGAGCCGGCCCACACTCCTTTACAGGCAAACACAATCACGCTGTATTTGGGAAAGCAAGCGCACACAAGGCGGTGGCTGGACCGTAGTCCGCTCCACACTGAGTGCATGGAACCACTCTTTGATCCTAACACGGTCACAAGGACTGTGCACCCCGTCCCCTCCAGCAACGACCAACTGTCTCCTGGAGCCAGTATGGACAAGGTAGTGGGTAATAGACAGGTAAGCACCTTGTCAACATGCACATCAAGCGCAGCCACACCGGGGATATCAATCAGCAGACAATCACCTGGAACGACAAGATGAAATAAAACAAATCCAATAATGCATACAGATACGGTGGCATAACTCTAAGCTAAGTAAGCATATGAAGTAAGTTGGTTAGCAACGAATCCGCGATAAGGACAAAATGTGCACAAGTTAGTTAAAAATGCTACAAAACGCAACAAAGTTACCGAAGATAGGCGCAATCAATGTGAGCAACGTGGCCAGTTAATAGAAGAGTATTCAGGTAGGCAGAACAAACCAAATAAAGTGGAATGAAATTTATCCAGCTTAAAAAGACCTAGTTTAAGTGTAAGTTGGTTTAGCCCAACTGCGGTGAAGAAGCATCAAGAATGCAACATCAGCCTCAGCATGGGGCACACATACATACATGGTTGGCGGCATCCGGCTTCGGATTTGCCTGTCACTGTGGCCAGACACAGGACGCCTGCGCCTACAGAGGGACTATGGGTGGCTTGCGCTGCACCACCCACAGCTCCATCCACACACCCCATATCCAGTGTAAACCCGAAGCAATAAGACCGGGAGGCATGTGGATATGAGCCACGTTTCATCAACGGAGCCGGCCCACACTCCTTCACAGACAAACACAAGCACACTGTATCTGGGGAATCAAGCGCACACAAGGCGGTGGCTGGACCGTAGTCCGCTCCACACTGAGTGCATGGAACCGCTCTTTGAGCCTAGCACGGCCACAAGGACCGCGCACCCCATCCCCTCCAGCAACGAGCAACTGTCTCCTGGAGCCAGTATGAACGAGGTAGTGGGTAATAGACAGGTAGGCACCTTGTCAACATGCATATCAAGCGCAGCCACACCGGGGATATCAAGCAACAGCCATTCACTCTAAACGACAAGCTGAAATAAAATAAATCCAATAATGCATACAGGTACGGTGGCATAACTCTTCCCTAAATTACCATATGAAGTATGTTGGTTAGCAACGAATCCACGATAAGTAAGAAATGTCCACAAGTTACTTAAACATGCTACAAACACAACAAAATTACCGAAGATAAGCGCAATTAGCGTAAGCAATGTGGTCAGTTAATAGAACATTATTCAGGTAGGCAGAACAAACCAAATCAAGTGTAATGAAATTTATCCAGCTTAAAAAGACCTAGTTTAAGTGTATGTTGGTTTAGCCCAACTGCGGTGAAGAAGCATCAAGAATGCAACATCAGCCTCAGCATGGGGCAGGCGCCATTTCATACCTACTAACTTATTCACGATGGTTATTGCCGTCCCCCGTAGCTCAGTGGTCACAACTGGACTGGCAACAGTCCAGTTGGGGGTTCGAGACGTATCAGGGTCTGATGGAATGCGCCCTGCTGACGATTCCCGAAAGGATGAAACGCGCGTACATCGCTTTTCCGGGCGTATGATGGCTGTCTGAGTGAGTCTAACTGTGACGAATTTCTACCTATACCATTCACCTCCCCCTACTACTCCTATGAAATAGACAATTGCTCAACTTGTTCGATTTGGTTCCCAAAAGCGCTTTCAGAGTGATTGTGAGGTTAAATAAACCAGAAAGACGGAAAAGTTGACAGTAAGAACAAGTAGTAAAAAGTCCAACGTGCAATTGAAGCAATACACTCAGTCCACTTCCTTGGGGGGTAGTCTCTCGAAAAGTTTCATCCGCACTTTTACGCTTTAATTGATCGTGTTCGTGTGGCTTTAAATCAAGTAAGCGAACACTGAAATATACATACAGAATGAGCATCCAAGCCATCCAGGGCGTTCCACGATTCAACCGTTTAGAGTCAGGTCCTTTTATTACTCTGCACTGAGCCAGTGGCAATTCGCATCGTATGGGTGCACTTATTAGCTTAGAATCCTTAATCCGTCACCTCAGGATTATCCGTAGCCAACAATAAAAAAATCAGAACAAATATGCGGATACAGTTAAGCTTCCAAAGTTGATCACCACTAGATGCTGACAACCTCTCTAAATTGACTGTTTCTCTACTGCTTGAACGTTTATCATGTGAACTTTTATGGACGCAGACCTCTATATGTTGACCAGTTTGGTCCAGTCGCTTGAATGGTCGACTTACAAAAATAACATCAATCACAGAAAAACGATGCAATTCTCTTCAATAGGACACAGTTCAACGGATTGTCTGATTCAGTTTATACACAGGGATCGAAGAAAACAAATAACACATCGACGGAGATAGGAACAACGCAGATTTCGAAATTTCCCGCTAAATCTGTCAGTGGCATCTAATCGAGAACCACAGGGGTGATAACGAAACGGAATTTATGGAGCACCGACTGGTGTACTCAAACGGTTGCCTCGCAGAAAGAAGATGAAGTGTTTGCAATGCAGATCAAATGAAAACAAAATGTGAAGATGAATTTGCGCTATGCTTAGTTGAAACAGTTACGCGAATGCTACTTGACTTCTCACTAAATAACTAGTTCTGAGGTTGATATTGGCATAAAGATTCAGAAAACATTTTTCACAGGGTGATTCCTTTGTCGAAATTGATCGCAAGTTATCAAGAGCTCTTTCAATATTGAGAGGCTATTAGCATTATTCACTGACTGAATTGAATGTGTCGCATTTAGATGTCTGCTCCATAATATGGAGTATAAGTTAAGAAAGTTTTTCGATGGTTTTGTTCTTGCTCTTTTCACTATCACAGTATTATTGTTGCTGCTTGTGTGACGACTTGCAGAATTTTCCAGTTTTCCTACTGGATTTAAAAAAACGTATTTTTTCATGAAGGTATCAAAGAAGATTAGGATAAATTTCGTTTCACGTAACCGAAATGGATCCAGTTTTAGGGTGATACATCGGTTCGTATATAAGTGATGGAATATCCTTGAGCCGCTTGGCGGATGACCGCTGCACTCGCTCTAAGGCTATATGGTCATTCTTTAGGGAACCGAAGTAGATCATGGAGTTATAATCTAACAATGGACGCGATTTACTCGACTCTACCAAAGTGAACATTCTGAAGAAAAGCTCAATGCTCTTACAATCGAGTATTTTTATGGCAGTGGGACGGTGGCCAATGGCAAGCGAACCCCCGGGTCAACTTCACATCTGTAAAATAGTACGTGGCATTTTTCGACGCAGAATGAGATCTACCACCCGGAACATCACGAATCAAGCAAATGTAAGTCATGTTGGATTGCATTGAGCATATCATTGACACCAGTGGGGCTAGAAGTATAAGCACTCTTTATGCCATTAGTAAATAGGAAAGGCTTTGTAGAAACAAAGACGTCGAAGAGATCATTCACATATAAGAGAAGTAATAAAGAACCCAAAACACTGCCTTGTATCACACCACTCATGACCGATTTGGGTGCACTTGTTTTACTATGAACCTGGACTACCTGGATTCTGTTTAGTCAGACAGAAGCCGAACCAGAAAAGCAGAGTTGCCGATGCCAAATGCAGTTTGCATAACCCGCGGTGGAACTGTACGCTATCGGGCGCGTCCCTAGGTTGCGGATTGGGGAATGCTTTCCTTGAGGAGGATCCTGCGAATACGTCTCGTCTGCTTTGCATGCGAGATGAATAAGCAGTCGCAGACAATCAGCGGCAGCGTCTGAGAACGTGGGGAGTTCTGGGCTGGTCACTTGGTTCTCCATCAAATACCACAAGAGTTGTACGGCGCTGTGTCAAAGCCAATGTGACCGGCTATAAGGTCACTGACTTCTATACCCAGAGGTGAGTGCCTATCGGAGGGCGGATGAACAACCTTACTGGTCACCGGCTTCTGTGTGGACTGCAACCGAGCACAAAAGTAGGCGAATGAGCCACCTGGTTGTCAACGGTCTTCATATTCAAAAACCTGCATGAATCGACCGCTGTCTTGCGGGTCAGGTCTATAAGACCAAAGGCTTGGAGAGGGGTCCCTTAAGTCAACACTCTTACTCGACCTGGGCAACCGGGAAGCTCACAGCCCACGCAACACATGAACCCTCGTAACCATTTCACTGACAGTTTCTTGCCCTCGTTTTTGTTTTTACTCAAGTGTGGCAGCACTGCTAGTTGCTTATTGGCCAAGAGTTAATACACACAGTTTACATAAGAGCTAAACTTGCACATTGCGGTCAAATGGCTTTTGCGTGTCAAAATAGACAAGTATACCTGACGAATTGCAATCAAGCGAACTAACAGGGAGATGGCGAAAGTCAATCTGACCTGTTATGCAGGATCGCGAAGTTAGGAAGCCGTGTTGTAAGAGGTTGATAGGGCTTCGCGGCGTTAAAAAGTCAATCATTTTGCACTTTACGCGACGTTCAATGATGCTATGTTGTAGCTTGTGTCAAGGTAGCCAAATCGAGTGCACCTCGGTGCACGAAACATAGTTGAGAAACTGAACGTGAGAAGTCGAAACAGACATAATCATTTGTCCATTAAATGTGAAATGCAATAAAAGACCGTAAGTATGACGAGGTATCATAGCTAACCGACGTGACATTACGTATTATTATACATATGATGCAGAAATTCAAGTCCCAACGCCTGCTCCCCAAATAAGACTGCACGAAGCGATAAGATAGATGGCAATCATCATCATTGATCATCATACACGTTAGCTGCAGGTGGAAAACACAGCTATTGTGCCGCAATAGAAAAGATAGAGAGCAGGGACAACATCGAACAGAGCAGCTTTTAATTGGACTTTATAAATGGAGGCTTGAGCTCGAATTACCAACTGGGCATATGCAGAATTCGCTGCGTAGTTAAAAGTGAATAAAGTTTCGGGAGTCAACGGTTAGGATAAAGCTGCGTTTCACCTATTATAAGTGCACATACTGACCACAAGGGAAATAATTGTAGAGATTTAGCAATGTATAAAATAGGCGTCAGAAAAGGCGGCGTACGCCACCACATTTTAGGGGGATCCTTCTTGGTACAGGCATAACTGAGACTAGAAACAGAAGCCAAGCAGGGAAGTTGAGTCAAACAGTTCAATTACGAGTTGGAAGTGGTCCTGAGATGAATCCACTTGTCTTCACTCATGTCTTCAACACAGTAAAAATAAGAACAACAAAACATGCAGATAAATCAAACGAGCGGCCATTAAAGAAGGTTCGAAAAGGGTTCCAGACACCTTACAGAAACCAAAAACCATAACAGTAATATCATAGACCATCAGCCATTTCGCATAATACCGCGCCCAGCTCCGTCGTGCCTGAACCTGATGTCGACGAGCTGCGAACAGTGTGCGAGACATTCTGATCCTGGATCTCAAGGTAGCACGTGACTATTCAGCACTTACAGCCCACATGCAGCTACCGTCGTCGTATTTCTGTCCGCTGGAGCCAGTTCGCGGCCATTGAAAATCTAACTGCAGTTTTACAGCTGAAACACGGATCCAAGTGGATTCAGTTCTGCCGCAGACTGCATTTACTGAAGTCAGTTATAAAAGAGAAAGGACATTTGTTGTGATGGTAAGTTATACCACTCAGGTCACAGTAGTTCAAAAAGGAGCTTGGTAAATCTGCTCAGTGGCAGAAAAGACTGTGTGAGAAATTCCTCCACTCTGGCTTTGTCCACGAACACAAGGCATATAAGAAGAGGAAGAAGTGTGAATCTAGCAAGAGAGAAGGTCAACTAGTGCAAGTAGTGCAACGCGCTTCACTGCTGGATGATGGGCTATAAGTAGCCAATCAATAGGCGTAGCGGCCTGCTACGGTAGATGAAGGATATGACACTATCCAGACATGTGTCACTGTAAAGCATTTGGGTATGTTTATTGTGCTCAATGATGACCTGTCGGTCCACCCACACAGAGTCGTTTCGCATCATGACGACGAGAAAACAAAGACATGAGGTAGGACTTGGAAGCAAGATGATGGTAGTTTCCGCGTTTAATGGCAAAAGAAATGACAAATGGAGAATTAAAATCGAAACTGATGATTATGACGAAGAGGATAGAAGAGATATAAAAAGTCGAGCAAGAGGAAATATTCGAAACACGCCGAAAGACGAAAATCACACGCAAAATTACCTTTCAGTTCTTCTTTCAAACAGGAATTCTGACTTTCCACTGACTGCATGTCAGTCGAAAGCTGTTTCAGCCTTGTTTGAAGCTGATCACGTACGCGTTCCAATTCCTGTGAATCACAAGTTCAAAACAAAGCAAAAAGGGCAAATTAGTCAGTGAGCTTCGAGGTAAGAAGTGAGCAAGCAAGTTAAAAAAAGAAGTAAGTCGTCAGCTGTACGCCGTGACGGCGCTTCGCTGCCGCGCGACCACTACGAGTCGCAGAGCAAGGCCAACTGTTCGAAAGAAGCTGACTTGTTGGCGCTTTAGTAAGGGTGTGGATTAAAGGATGAACAGTAAGTGCGAGTTAATAATCCAGCTTAGGCCATTTTCTGTGAAAAGATAAACATTTGCAATCGCTGAGAACAGTGCCTCTGACTTAGCCACAGGGTAAGCAGAAGAATGTCAGTGTGCACAGTAATCAAATTTCTAGGAAAGGAGGATTCGACGATACCATCCAGTGCGTCTCTTGATCAACTGTGCCAAGCGCACCAAAGCGTGGTCTCTAGAAAGAATGAGAAAATGGGCAAAGGTCGGCTAGAAGGTACACTAATAAGGCAAATTCTTAGGATAGACTAGTTCACTGTAAGGGATCAGATAAGAGCATCACTGATTTAGTGACAACGATGCACCCAGCCGGATTTCCAATATTTGGGGAGAGCGGTTCAACGACTTCATGCGGTAAGATGACACGCACCAACCCAAGTCATTCGGATGGTCTTAGCTCGTCTTACTGATGTGCCATCGAGTAACAAACGTATCAGATGACGCACGTTGAAGTGATCAGCGACGAACATGTAACATTTATTTGCTCCATTGACCGAACCACATACCAGCGAATTGCGAGCCCGAGTGTGCCAACCATCCACTCAAACGGCAACTCAATCAGACCGGCAAGAGGCTCTCAAACGCTGTGAAAATCGTTAACCGCGGAGTCCCGCGGCATGAGAGTAAAGAGGCTGCTGTCGAGAGAAAGAAAGCGTGTGTTCGTATTAGGAAGCAGATTATGTCTACGTTTCCGTGAGGGAAGTTATCGGAAAGAATTAAGTGATACTAAGAAATAAGCTTGAGCCTAACTGTCACGTGCATATGTCAAAATATCCACGTTTCTGATTGCGAAAGAGTGAACAGAGATGATAGCGGGATCTATGTGCGAAATACTTCGAAAATCAGCCAAAGCATGTATGAGGGCAAGGATCAAGGAAAGCTAGCCGACAACATCAACCCTTTCTCGACAAACTACGGTACAGGATTACACAAGTGTATGGTGCCCTCGCAATGAGGCTGAACCTTACCGTGGTGCGATCGTTTGCGTGCCTCGGCGATCCATTGAACTATGGTCGGTGATGCTTTCTGCACTTTCAAAGTCACTCATATCAGATTGATCAATGGTTAGAGGCTGTTGTGATTCGCTATCCCGGGCTTATCCTAGTTGGTTGAACATCAGTCAATGATGATTGATCGACTGACTGACTTTCAAGTTGATGCTCGTCTCGTTCTGAGCAATTGTGCATTCCAGGTGCCTCTAAAAGATACTTCTGCTACATCTGCGCTTTCCTGACATAACATTTGGCGTTGCGAGACCAAAAATGAACCCATTCAGCACCCATCTCCATTCTGGACTGATTACGATAATAGACCAACATCGGATGCCTGGCCCAGTTGGAAAACATACTACTTGAACTACTAGGATGCAATCAGTGTTTTCTGTTCTGCTCTTAGGGAGGAAAACAGATTAAAACAGCTTCGGGAATGAGGGACAGCAGCAATTTGATGAGTTGGGCCTACAAGAATGCAAATCCGTTAGATAAGCTTTCAATGCTCTCGATTGTGCCTGAGGTTGCCAAATGAATGCGTTTACTGCAAGATACGTTTTCTCCCGCATGCATCATAATAATGGTAAACTCTTGAATGATTTCATTTTCCGTTTGAGTCGAGCAGTACGACTGTGTAACTATTCGTATATTCTCCAGAAAAAGATCAAAGGCTGTATGCACACATAGCAACTGATTTCTGGAATTGCTGACAATCGCATACGTGAGGCGCTGTTGCAGGAAGAGGCATACACATTAACGTGGGATCAAGCTTGTGAGTCAGCCAGAATGAAAACTGAAATTTCACTGCAATCGAAACAGTTCTGTTCCATCAACACAAGTGAAGTGGAAAAGGTGCAATCTTTCCGGCAATTACCAGCGGACAAGCCATTTGGCAATCACTGTGGAAGCACTTCTTACAAGGCCAATTTGTCCACTTGTCCCGCACGCAGCCTCAAGTGCAAAAACGATGGCAAAATTGGGAACTATTTCCGATGTTGTCGATCGCAGACCATCGCACTCATCTGTTGATCCATCTAAAAAAACATTTATTTCATCACCGCTAGTGCCAACACTACAAAATGTTTGACAATATCTGTTGTTGAACCAAAACTTCCCTCCGCTGATATTCGTAATGTGTCATTAAAAGTGCTGTTCCACTTGAAATGCAGTTATATGCTGCTTCACCAGTTACTATCGTACTTCACCAATTTTATGAACGCTACTTATCCAAACATACCTTACAGCTCACTTCGCATTCATTTTTGAGCTGCAGTGGAAATACCTTAACCATGTTGGGATTAATTATAGTGCCTTTACAGATGCATTCGGTAGCTGCAGATATTGCAGCGTAAGTTTCTTCAAACATGACACAATCTTTGCTTGGAAAAAATGCCATGGTGGCTTTGCAAGTAGTACCATCTTTCGGCCGCATGTTGGGTTCTTCCGTCAACGTGACATACTGGCATGAACGTTATCCTAAGTTTTTTTCAGCTGTCCATCGGACGTAGTTCATTTGTTGTCAATCAAATCAATCAACAATAGAAGTACATCAGCCATTTGAACTGATGCTTCGCTGCCATACAAACATGACCTATGGAATAAAGAATAATAAAAGAGGGAGATAAGAGGGACTTATAGGAAGACCTTAATGTGCTAAGCAAACATTCTGAGTCAAAGCGCCTACACCATGTGTTAGCAACATACCGTCACAAATAGCTGGCTATCGTGTAAAGATAAAGCGGCATCACCGAGACAACTTGATTGCGGCTTTCACTGCTCCGCGTCATAACTAGTCATTAGCTCGCAGATAACTCGGCACCAAACACACTTTAAAGAGGCAGTCCGGCTAATAGACGGCAGCAGACGCGCCACTGGTGCCGACTGCGAGCTATGTCCTTGCGGCATTCTCACGGCCAATGTACTGAGCCCTTTCTATTCGTTGCCTGTCTCTGTTAGCGTGTGTCAATAACCCGCTCACCCACTTATTGACTGGCCTAGTTTAGAATAGTGGATAAATGTTTTGTACAACATGCCGGTTAGAATACGGTTCTGCCATCCATGTGCCTGACGTGTTTTGCTTTGTGATACTTCAGTTAAGAGCCAGCCACTGTGCGTAGGTTCCGCAGTTGCTAAACACATTTTGGCGATGAAGGCTAAACTTGGAATGAATTACTATGGACCAATTTACCCCGCCTGATCCCTTTTAGAAGGACACGTCGTCCAAGCCATCCTTAGCAGTTTGGAATAGTTGGAAACGAAGCTTCTGTGACTACCTTGAGCTTTTCACAATTGCACACCCCCACATCAAACTTAGTGAAACCCAATCTATCAAACTGCTGAGACAACACCTCGGTGCAGAAGGTTAACGGCATTTGGATGTGTTGCGTTTGTACGAAAACACATCCCTGACGGACTGTTTTAACGCCCTGGATGGTCTTTGGGGGTCGCGGCAACATGCTTTTACTGCGCGCCTAAGTTTTTCACATTTACGACAAGGAGAAGAGGAGAGTGTTAATGAATTCAGCAGCCGTATATAACAGTCCCATCCTGATTGCCGTTACCGTGAAATTCCCGTGACGAAATTCGTAGAGACGATGGCAGTGCAATGCCTTTTGGTTGGCATTCGGGACGAGAAAGCTAGAGAGTGCCTGCTGTCAGAAGACGAGAATAAACTCGCTTGCGAAACAGCCTGCTCACTGGTCACACAAAAGGAAAGCATTGTGCAACAATTAACTCAATATCGAATCGATTCTCCTTCAGATGCCATCCATGCGGTCAAATCTCGCCTATCACTCACCAACAAATGTTTCTTTATATGCTACATATGCGACGAGAAGCATGGAAAGGTTGCTGGTTGCAGACACAAACAGCTTACTTATAATAAATGCGGAAAGGTCGAACATATTGCACGCGGATGTCGTTTGAGCGTGTTGTAACGACCGATACCCCACCCTGCCCAGGGTACTGTTCAAACTGTGGCAAACACTGATGACGCCATATTCTATCTAATTTCGCACACAACCACATCGCACGCAATCGGAATACCCCCGTACATTGTTGATTTAAACAATGAAGACCAACCAGTGCGTTTGGAGATCGATGCCGGGTCCTCGGTTACATTGATCAACAACCAAACTTTGCTTGGCCTGGTTCTGACTCCAACTCAATCTAAATTACGATCATTCACTGGGGAAACAATCGATGTTTTGGGGGTGTGTGACGTTAAAGTAAATCATGAGGACAATACGCGGACTCTTCCTCTAATCGTTGTTAACACAGACTGACCTAATCTATTTGGGAGGAACTGGTTAAAGTACATGCCGGAAATATTACAGTCTGTCAAGAAGGTGGACAGTATTTCTGACTTATCTACACTCTTGAAAATCTTTGCTAGTATGTTCGATACAAACATACCTGGGAAATTACGTGGTTTCAAAGCTTATTTAAATATCAGGCTACGGACAACTGAAATTGTACAAGGCACGAAGTCTACCTTTCGCAATCCATCTGGAAGTAGAGTTAGAGCAATTACAAAAGGAGGGAACAATTTCACCCGTACGCCACTCTTCCTGGACTGCACCCATCGTTCCTGTACAGAAGCCTGATGGCTCAGTTCGCATTAGCGGCTAATCAAGCGACGACCACGGAACATTATCCGATTCCACGGATAAATGACCTTTACGCAACTTTGTCGGGTGGACAAAAGTTCTCGAAACTTGATCTAAGCCATGCTTATTCTCAAGTGGAGCTAAAGGAA